CTTGACCTTAGACCTTTTTGACCTTAGACCCTGGATCAAATAAAGCCCTTGAGTGGTGGTTTAGGTTTTGGTGAATGGCCATTGGTTTTTTTTCCCCCTTTCACATTTTGATGGTGTAATTCTTTGTTTTTACTGCTATTTTGTATTTTGTAAGCTACCCAGAAGCATAACAGATTGGGGCAGCTTATAAATCCCATAAAAATAAGTGAACACTGGTACAAGTTTACTCAAAAGCAAAACAAGTCAATGGAACTAATTACTAGTGCAAAGTCCAATAGTTACCATTCTATCATTCTACTGAAGTTGAATAAATCCACAGAAAATGGTAGTCAATAATTTTGAAAATGCTACTGCCACATTGCTAGCTTGTTATATTTTGCAACACCTTTACTGGAAATTGTAACAAAATAACTCCAGGAGTTGTTTCACTTGAATATTTATTATCTGGAATGCTGAGTAGTCTTTGATAGATCACAGTGATTACACACCTGCAGATTTTATAGCCCCTATAAAGTACTGCACACAATTTTTGCTCAATTTTATGCTGTTAAACTAAACATTTGGTATCCTATGGCACTTTGAGTGCTTTGATTTATGTGTGAAGACAGAAATTGCTCCAGTAATAAACATTCTAAAGTCTGGCCCTAACTCTAGTCTACTGTATTTATTTGTGTTATAAACACTTATCGGTAAAGCATTTGAGAATCATCTTAGATTTAACTCATATAATACATTAAAGGCATTAGCTTCAGATAGAACAAGGTCATCTCCAAGGAAAAGGCAACTGTGATGGAAAGTAAGGCAAAGGCAGAGTGGTAACTATGTTGAATTCAATTGATAACAGCAAAAATATTTTAGTTTTTCTGACAGTTTTCTTATATTACTATTGCATTGAACTGAAAAGTGAAACTAAGTTTTTAATATAAATATTATGTGTATTTCCACTTATTTGAAACAAGAATGCATACTTTTAAATTGGTCATCATGGCAACAATGTATTTTATTTCAATATTCTGCAGCATTTCAATTTTAAAATGGATACAATGGATAGATACAAACAATAATTAGTGGTAATTTCCCTTTTCTTAGAATTGTAGATAGGGAGAAAATATCCATACAAAATCATTCTACTCAGGATTCTTTAGGAGAAGCTAATTGCAATGTTATCACTATGTAAATAATTGTTACAGTATATTCACACAAAGGATGATAACACTTTATCATAATTTCTCCACAGAAGGTTAGACAGAATTCAGACAAAATAACAACAACAACAAAAAACTTGTTTGTTTGCACTGAAGATGTTACCTAGCCTGGTAACAAAACATCTGCAAACAAACAACCAAGCTCACAGAACACTTTATCTTCTTTCTTATTTACAGTACTCTGAGGAAATAGGATGCTTACGCCATTTCACAGGATGGATTATAATACTATAATTCTATAATTAATTTCAACATGGAAAGATTATTGGGGATTTCAGAAATTGTAAACCAACATACCAGAAATACACAATATTAGGGCAGGCTGCCTTAGGATTATGTATATGGTCAGCAAAGAATAGCAAGGCCTTTATTTGCAAATTTTCCTTGCTAAGCTATAATTTGTTAAATCATAATATACTGAACAAGTCAGAATTACCTGGAATCATGCAACATGTTAAGCTATAGAGAACAGCGTTTATAGATCAACAATGGCCATATTTGGAAAAACAATGTTTATTTTTCCTATTAACTATTTTGTTATTAATGTAGTATATAGATAACCAGTTAACAATTTGTAAACAGATTTAGTCATTTAAAATTCTTTTGGCTTGTTTTTCAAGGGATGGGAAACTAACATTGCCCTATTATATTAATCAGCACTCAACTAGGGAGGATACTATGTGTAAATGTGTTAGTCTTTTTTTCCTCCAAAACACTTTTTCTTTTTAATGTCTTATTAGTTGTGTTTTTTCTTATTTTTAAATTTTTTTGGTGTTTTGTATTTTAACCTTCTTTGAATAAACTAAATTTTAGTTGTATTTTAACCTTCTTTGAATAAACTAAATTTTATATAAAAAACAATGGCCACATTTATACAACTGTCACAAATAATTGTTTGAACTAGTGCAAACATCTTTATGTTTGAAACTGATGTGATATACTTTTTTCATTCTTTCCAATGCAATGGAATGTGGGGGAAAAAATTCTGTGAAGAGCATCACAGAATCTGTCAGCACAATAACTCTATGGAGATGGAACAGAAAAGGACCAAATCTGGTGTGCAAGAGGAGAAATCAGCAAAACAAAGATTTAGTTTGAAAATGGATCAGATCAGGCCAAGGGCTGCAGAGATAATATTTAAGAATAAAATATTCTCAAATGCATCTATATTAGAAAAGCAGTATGACAGGGACTCAGATAATTACCAGAGCTTTCATTCTAAACTCTCTCTCAGTTACATCGGTCCAGAAAAGAGCTAAAGTGGTGGGGAAAAATAATAATCTACAAGCCATTCTCACCATGTTTTCTCTACTGCATTCCGTATCATAAAAGTGATTTACGCCTATTGTATAATAAATTCTTGAAAAAGGATGACATTATGAGAACCTTTTGAACTCTTATTATCAGCACTTAAAAGAAATGGTGGCCACGGCCAGTTATGAAGGCCATTTGGTGAGGTTATTGGCAAATACTACCTTCCTTGAAATTACTCTGCTGCTCTGTCTTGTTTTTCTGGGCAAGTGGGCAAATGAGGTGACCTCAGCTAGCCACAAGGATAGAATGGATGATGAAATATATGTTGCATTGACAGGATACAAACTCTGCCCTTTCATACTTGCATTGTAAGGGATCAAGTATATTGCAGCAATGTTTTGATGCACATTCTCTCTCTTGCTTCCCTTTCTAAAATCCATGTGCTAGGATGCAGATGCCCACAATTACAGTAGGTAAGAATGGCTTTAGAGAATCTTTTTGGGACCCTGCAGCTTTCTTGTCAAGAAAATGTATGCTTGAAGCATTTTCTTTTTTCATTTTTGTTTAATTAAAGACTTCTAAAAATCAGTTTGAGTGGAGATCCTGGCAAGCACCAAAGTAGAGTTTAATAGGCATACTAATACCTATAGATGCCATAGTGATTGCACCTAAGCCATCTACAGAATGGAATTGGAATATAACATACAAATCAATTAACAACACCAAGGTTGCATTAACTATAGCTATAATTCCCAAACTGATAGACAGGAAAGACAATTTATCCAGCAAGAGGTTACTAGCTGAGTATTTTAAATTCAAGTGACTAGATTGCATTATTCAGAAGAGATTTAATACTTTTAATATTATAATATTTCATTTATTTATAAACATGCAACAGATCCTCCAGCTTTCCTTTAACCAGTTCACCAGAGGATAGCTCTAGAGTGCCACCATGTGCTAAAAACTTTAACCAAATGAGTTGCAGCTCACATCTTGGAATAAAATGTGTTAATTGGAAAAGATGCTACCAGATTTCCTGATATTTTTTTTTATCTCCATCTACTAAAATGATTATCACGTCTCATAAATAGATGATACAGAGCACAATCTACTAACACAAAGTCTGTAATGCTCCTGACCAAAAAAGCAAAAGCAAAAGCAAGAACAAAAACAGTTCTTCCCATTCAAATGGCAGGTTATTTATTGTCTCTTATGCCTACAGAAAAGTTACACTGAAATATAAATTGGATTGACATTCAAATAACAATATTCAGGACAGAGAACAGAAGGTATAACAATTAAGCCAGCACAAACTTTCTTCTTACTTACTAAATTTCTGAAGTACAGTAGGCTAAATCAAGAGGATGTTTTTGTTTTCGTGAAATTCTATGCTTAGCAGCAGTGCATATTTTGACTTTTACAGGGTTGAAGAGAAATAGGCTAAACCTCTAATTCACTTGAAAAGTACAATGTGTGTGGCTTATGAATGTATAAATTATGATTAAACAATTCATCTCCCTAAAGAGAAAAATAGAAATCATTTGCTCAAAAATGAATCCTACTAAATTGACAACCTATTCATACCTATTCTAAACCATGAAAAAAGTCTGGCCCCAATCAATTTAAAAATGTAGTACTTAATTGCTTGTAAGAATGAAAGGTCTTGGGGTATTTTTTTGTCAGACAGATAATTTCCATCAGAAAGATATAATCATTCCTTGTGCCCAGGAAATTAACAATAAAGCAACAAATCCAGTTGCATTTCTGGAAGTGTCCTTCTAGCTTCATGAACTTTATGACGGATAGGTGCACTTTTGCAGAGGGGACTTTAAGTGTGTGGGATATATTGTTTTCATTGAAAGGTTCACTGAATTTCTATAATCATTCAAAAACCAGGACTATGCTCCCCGCCCCAAGAACTGAATTAGTCTGTCCCAACCAAAGCAGGAAAACACACTGATTTTGATTGCAAAGAATTTCCATTTCTTATCACAGCCAATAAGAAAACTACAAATGCAACTACATTTGGGGACCTGACATTCTCCTCCGTTCAAAAATGAGATAGGCAGACACTTAAATTTCTCCTGTAGGCTCGATGATCTACTCTACAACAAGGGTCTATAACAGGGGTAGGCAACCTTGGCTCTTTTATGACTCGTGGACTTCAACTCCCAGAATTCCTGAGCCAGCATGGCTGGCTCAGGAATTCTGGGAGTTGAAGTCCACGAGTCATAAAAGAGCCAAGGTTGCCTACCCCTGGTCTATAAACTTGGCACTTGTCAGACTTCGGGACTTTAACATGCTGGCTGAGGAATTCTGGGAATTGAAGTCCACAAGTCTTACGAGTGCCAAGTTTGTAGATCCCTGATCTACAAGAAACGCCCCCCCCCCGTCTTTGCGATCATAGGCTCCGGCCACAACGCTTGACTTTTAAGCCACTCCCACCTCAAAGCCGGGCCTTCCCTTTCTGCCTGCCTTGCTGAGACTCACGTGACCAGCCAGGCACGGTCACCTCATGTGACGGGGACTCACGTGATTCCTCGGGTTTTGCTGGCCGCGGGTGGCGACGGGGGGTTGTCCAAGATGGCGTTGTTGGAGGAAGAAGAGCAGGCGTTGCTGGATGAGGATTCGCAACCCAAGGACCACGGCGACCCTGCGCGCAAGCCCATGCTGGCCTTGTGCGACCCACAGCGGCTGGCCCACAGGCTGCTGGTGCTGGCGCTCATGTGCTTCCTGGGCTTCGGTCGGTGCTCCTGTCTTCCTGGTTGACTAGGGGCTGTGTCCGGGGAATAAAGTTTCGCTTTAAGAATAGTTCTTGCAGCTTTGGGCCAGCCTGGGAGGGTGTAAAGAAAATATGTCATGGATGCACACTAGACAGTATAGATCAGGGGTAGGCAACCTCGGCTCTTTTATGACTCATGGACTTCAACTCCCAGAATTCCTGAGCCAGCTAAGCTGGCTCAGGAATTCTGGGAGTTGAAGTCCATGAGTCATAAAAGAGCCGAGGTTGCCTACCCCTGGTATAGATTCTGCCGCTCCCGTTTTGCTCTAAACTATTTCAAGGCATCGCTAGACGTGGGGCGACTCAAATGGTATGCTTTGCCTGCGTTGCTGTTTTCCTTTCTTCTGAAATGGATCAAGGAAGACAGAAAACGAAAGGAAAATGATGGAAGGAAGCAAACTAGTTATTGCTATTCCTTCAATCAGTTTTGGCTAGGAGGAGAGGGCATTCATGGTTATTTTTTAGCAATTGACATGATTGGAAAGTGCTATTTGCTGCTGATCCTGGGATTAGAGGTATTGGCATCACTTGGAAATTAATAAAGTCTGTTTTAGCTTTGATTCTCGAGGGTGGAGGGATATACATTCATAAATAAATAAAAATTTCTCCTTCTCTTTGCATAGTAATTTTTTGTAGATTCCAAATAATCTGCATAGGTTATTTGACACAAGCGTTTTCAGAATGTTTTTTAAATAATTTTTCTGCTCTGTTTGTCCCTAGGCAGCTATTTTTGCTATGACATTCCAGCAGCTCTGCAGACTCAAGTTCAGAGGGTGAGTGAAGAGCAAAATATGCTGAATTGCACTACTTTTTCTATTTAAATCTTTGATGCATTGTTTTTCCATAATAGCAAGAAATTTTCATCAAATGTTCTTTATGTTTCAACAATCAGAAATGATTCCATATCAGATAATGAAAACTTAGTTAATATAATTGTTTTTTCTGAAGAATCAGAATATTGATTGTGCTAGAATGACAGATAGAAGTTGTCTGTTAAAGCTGTTGAGCATCAATTATCAAACAGAATGGTCTAAGAATACCTATTTTTCCTCCAGGAGGAAAAACCCCCACAAAAATTCAGATGTTTTCTATTTGTTTTATCTTAAAGAAAAAGAAAAGAGTACCCTGTCTGTTCAAAATTATGACAGTGTATGCTGTAAAGGGCATCCTTGATCACTAAGATATATAATCATTAGCTTCTCTAATGTGAAGAAAAGAAATGAGAAAATTAAAAATCAGCTGCAAGGATACTTTATTATAATGAATGCATCATCCTCTGAAGCAAAATGGGAGATAAATACAAAAACCAAAGCATGTAAGGTTTTTTGACAAAATAGGAATTGTTTTCTACAAGGACCTAGAATATAAGGATCATCTGTTTACAGATAAGAAAGGATCCATGTGTAGAACATCCTAGTTCCTATCTGATTACTAGTTTGTTTTTTTTTAAAAAGCTATATGTTAACCTTTCTTAGTTAACAAGACAACAATTTTTAGAGGTATGACTTGATCTTGCAATAACAGATATTGTATTGGATGGATTATTCTATAAGAACATTTTAAAATTAAAGCAGTGCTTAAAGATTGTGTTCTTTTCTATTTAGGATATGAAAGTAAACACAGCTAAGTTCATGGCACTGTATGCCTGGTATTCGTGGCCTAATGTGTTTCTCTGTTTTTTTGGAGGCTTTTTGATAGACAGAGTATTTGGAATAAGGTAATTATAATCATTTTTTCTTGAAGATAACTGCTAGATCCATTTTATATATATTTTCAAATAGCTGTACGGATATGAACTGTACTTCATTTATCTTTTTAATATGTTTAGTAGACAAATGTTTACATTTCCTTAATTGTCTTATTTGCTAGGGTTATGTGTGCTTCAAAAATTCCTGAGAGGAATCCACTCATCAAAATTAATATGACACTTGAAGATTGGGCACCTTTTTTCCTGGCTTGCCTAGAAGCCTGAAAAAAAGATGGGGAGTCCTTTAATTAATAGAGAGTATTCTATAGGCGTATGCAAAACTGGTGGATTTAGAAAGGAAGCAGTTGGCAAGTGTTGGATCTTTCTATTTTCCTTCCAGATCATGCCAAATCTTTTTAGGGTCCAGGTGATCTGATCTGGAATACATAATCCAAACTGTAAATGGATAGAAGTATGTTTGTAAAGTCTGAAAGAGGCTTGCCTTGTGGAAAACACCACATCCAGAAGCTCTCAACCCATTTCTGGTTTGGATGTTTACTTCTAGAGACTTTGAAATTGTGCTTAGAACAGCTTTCTCCAAAGGGGAATTTGAATCTTCCAGGCATATGTGAAACATTACATTCTGTTCCTGAATTTGTGCATTTTGTACATTTTGAATTCTTCAATTACATGGAATTCCAAGCTGTTCTTCCTAATAGTTTTACAAGAATGAAACTATTTACCGTTTGAAAGTAGCTTTTTACTGAACTATTTACCGTTTTTAAGTAGATTTTTATTATTAGGGTTCTGGCATTCTATTTTATTTCTCCTGACCCCCACCCCCCAAAATTGGCTTGGCATACTGTTTCAGAATTGTAACATAAGATGACATGCAAATATGTATATTCATGTTATAGTAGAATCTTAGTCTTCTCATTTGAATTTTATGAATGTTTTCACTTTTGTCTGAGAATATCTAGAACTAGCTTACTCTGTTGCTTATTTCAGCTTAGATCCTACATTTGTGCTCAATATGAACCAAGAAAGGGCTCATCTAGGCAATTAAATAGTTCTTTGTATTTTTTTTCCCCTGATTATTTTACTTCATTCTTAGATGTCCTAATTTTCCATTTTTTCTCCTCAAAAGTCAACTTTCTATTGCTCCTTTTTGAATTTTCATGTGGTACTTTAGAGAGGATTTCCCCCCCACCCCCGCTGAAATCAGTGTGACGTAGTGGATGAATCTCTCATCTATAAAAAGTTCTCTTAGTGACTTTGATCTTGCAGGATATGTGGGGAAAAATGGACAAGGAAATAAAGCTATTGGAAGAAAGGTGGAAATATACATTTGATCTATTTTTATGATTACTGATGGTATTCTTTTGGGTAAATAAATGGTAGCTTTCAAACAATTTCATCCAGAAGAGAGAAAAGATTCTTCAATTTAGTCCATTCATTTCTAAAGGAGAATTTTACCCCATTTGTGGTAAATTGTATCATTTTGTATGGTGGCAGTTCCCAATTACAATGCTGACTTTAAATTATTCAAACTCCTTTACAGGTGGGGTACAATAATATTCAGCTGTTTCGTCTGTGTGGGACAAGTAAGTGAAACAGATGGCAGTTTTATGCAGAAAAATAAATTCATAATTTCTCCAAAGCTGTGAAATCATATTAATCTGTTTTATGCCCAAACAGTTGAAATACATGGCTGTGACATAATTTCTGTAATTAACTGAAAAGAGATGCATCTTCTTCTTACAGGTAATTTTTGCTGTGGGAGCAATATGTGATGCTTTTTGGCTGATGGAATGTGGCAGATTTGTATTTGGGTGAGTTTGGATATTNCCTCAAGGGGAGCCCCATGTAGAGAGCATTACAGTAGTCCAGGCGGGAGGTGACAAGTGCGTGAGTGACTGTGCGTAGGGCGTCCCGGTCCAGAAAAGGCCGCAACTGGTGAATCAGGCGTACCTGATAAAACGCCCCCCTGGTCACGGCCGACAACTGGTCTTCCAGCGTCAGCCGCGAATCCAGGAGGACGCCCAAGCTGCGTACCCTCTCCGAGGGGGCCAAAGTTTCGCCCCCTATAGTCAGCGATGGACTCAGCTGACTATGCCGAGACGCCGGTAACCACAGCCACTCGGTCTTGGACGGGTTGAGCCTGAGTCTGTTCCTCCCCATCCAGACCCTCACGGCCTCCAGACCTAAATGTCTAAATATTTGCTATATTTCATTTTAAAAATAGAGAATCCAATGAAGGCTTATGTATTTAAAATCAGAAATGGTTTGCAGAAACAATGGTTTACATCATTTCAATTTTATTTTAAAGTTACTTTGCAAATCAGCATGTATTGTATATGGTATAGTTATAGTGAGGATTGCTTCATGTGTTTTGCTTCAAATACTCATATTCGTCTTTCATTTAGGATTGGTGGTGAGTCCTTAGCAGTGGCACAGAATACCTATGCTGTGAGTTGGTTTAAAGGAAAAGAATTAAATCTTGTTTTTGGACTGCAACTCAGCATGGCTAGAATTGTAAGTCTAAACACCCAGTTTTGTTTTTTTTTACTATAATAATTGTTACACATGTATGGCTATTCTAAATGTTTCCATGTCTGTGCATGAGGTGAATAGATCAATTAATGATTCAGGCATTTTTTTTAAAAAGAAGGCATTTGATTAGTTAAGAGTATTCTTTCATAAAGACTTCTAAAAAGTTAAACTTGATAAATCAGTTAAGCTTAGGAACAGCAGTAAAATTTGACTTTGTAGGGTCATTTTTCCCCCCTTTATGTTAGCTTATTTGGAGGGAATGTCTGGACATTTTGAGACATCAAATGGTAACTGAAAAGTCAGAGTCTGATTTTTGCAAGGATTTTGTTATACTATTAATAAAAAGGTACATGTTCACAATTATTGTGTGTGCTTAAAGTAATTCCAAATTGTATGAAGAACATAAACAGTGGTGCATTTTAATGCAGCCCGATTGCTAGCGGATTATCTCAGATAGCTGATGTTGACTGAGGTTTATGGGTGTCATAGTCCAAATTACTGGGAGGGTGGGCGAGTAGGTTGTGTGTTGAT